AGTCTACCATTGCTACTACAATTTGGTTACACTTATCCTAATAGATTAAGTCAACTGATTGGGAATAATTTAAGCAGTAAAATCATGATATAAACACAATATAATGGCAATGATAATAGACTGGGACTAATCCAATTTAGTTAACCATTTCAGGTTAATATCACTTTTAAATTAGAAAGCAAAAAACAGATGATTTTGGTTTCTATTCAAAACCTCCTTGTAAATCATTACCATCATTGATTGTTGTAAGTATGCCAAGCTAAATGGATACAAAGATTGATTTTAAAAAAAAATTTTCATCAAAATATTGTAACTGTATTTTTGTATCTTACCTCAATTGATAATAATAATAACCATCACTTTGATACTTCAATCATTTTAGAATCTATTTTTACTTTAAACTCTACTCGATAACAATCAATGATGATAGTCATTTACCATGATTACATTAACGTATAAAATTCAGTGTTGTCTTCAAGTGGATACTATAATAAATATACACATTTATGTGCGTGCATTTATTAATAGGAAATTGGATTGGATGATAGCCACTTGAAAAGGTTTGAATGTAAGGGAAGATGTAAAATCTAAATGTATAATATCACATAACAAGCCACTTGAAATGGTTAATCGAATTAACGGCAAACAATTATCTACAATCTACAGGCTAAATCGATCATTAACAAGTGATTTTCAGGTTTACACACAAACATATGTGTTGTTGATTGTATATAGAGTGCATCTCATCGTGAGGTCACTTCAACAGCATCCTGAGCATCATCATTATCCTTTGAATCCTTTTCTTTCTTTTTCTTCCTCTCCTTGTCACCATTTCCTCTCCTTCCTATCCTCCTTGTGATCCTCAGGATGTAAAGTCATCAATTGATTAGGTTTTTTTTCCTTTGTTGTCAATATAAATATCAACCATTGCAATAGAGATGTTTGTTTGACCAGTCTTCAACGACAGCTAAAGGTTGATAATGATGAAGGTATCACTGGTAGTGTATAAAGTGACTGATACATGAAAAGACAAAAAAAAACAAGAATGAAAAAGACGAAAATTAAGCCTAAAGAATGGGTCAGTATCATGGTTTTGGTCAATTGTCTTGAGAGTTACAAGTGATATAATGTTTCTTATTGTTGCTTTTTTTTGTCTGTCATTTGTATTGATTTTGTCAATCTCTTAATGGCTTTGAACCTAAAAGGGCTTAAAAACAGCAAAATTAGACAATTGTTTGTTTGCTTGATTGTTGATTGGACACAAAAAATAAAACCAAGTCAACACAGTCAGCTAATCGAAGTTGCATGATATTGAAATGGCAAGAATGATAAGTTATTCATTGCTGAACATTCGTTGCCCTTTTACACTTATACTATCAAACTTAAGTAGAACCTAAGGAAACAGGATTGACTTTTGTGTAAATTGAAATCAATTTAAAAACATTGAATCAAGAATTTTAAAATAAAGTATGAAAAACTGTGTAATCGATCCAAAAAGCCGTTTGTGGAGGGGATTGAGATACCAACTTTGATCGCTTCCATGTATTGTAATTTGATACTCGGCGATGATATTTTATAGAGAAAGCAAGTTGTTTGAATACTTATCAGGCCAAATTAATGAATGTTGTACATTAATATGGATATTTAACTGAAATCTGTACTTGTATTACAAATAAACGTAAATCAAAACACCATTTCTAGGGACATTGATTATCAAGATCTTTTGGATGGCATTTGCTTGGCTTATTTGTTGAAATATGCTAATAACAGTGTCTTGAGGGTTTGATTATCCATAAGAAGTAAAAATGGAGACATAAATTACAGCCAATTTGTAGCAAAATAACAAACAGATTCAAAGATCATTAACAGGAAATCGCCTTTTCAACAGTCCACTTTACACATTATTTGTACACAAAAATCTTTTGACTCTTGGGTTCCCTTATTAATACTGGTCAATTGCAGCAAATAACCCCTTTGAATTATGACTTTCAATACCTTTCAACACTAATATCCATTTGTTAGTCTCATTTTTCCCTCTGCTCTTTAGGACAGCAATCAAGTGGACAATGGTGGTGGACCATACATCAAAAAATATGTCATGTCTATAATCCTAGAAAAACCCTTGTAATGGTGAAATGGCCACCCGAGAGGAGACAATCTGTAGTTGTTGATAGGATAATAATAAAAGGGGTGAATTATGACCTGCCACTTGAGAGAAAGAGTAAAATATCATTAGTAATTGTCAATTTGAATCAATTGTAATTGAGAACGCTAAATTAATATATTATACTTGACCTGGATCCATTTTTTGCCTTCCATAGGTAGTCTTGATTATTTGTTATCTTAAATTGAGTAGCACAATAATTTATACCATTTGATATCATTAAGATAATTGTTATTGTTATTGTTGTAAGTCAGTATGAAAGGGTTTTTTTGCTACTAAAGGTTTAGCTTTTTTTTGGAAATGTTGACTTACCATTTGTAATGATTCAATTTACGGGTAATAAATGGTGATCCAAGGTGGTTTCAGTTTAAATAGATTCATTTCACACCAATTTAACCGTTGAATTAACTACAATTCACTTTTTGATGATATAATCAACAAATGAAAACAAAATGTAGAAGTTTATTGACATGTTGGGTCAACACTTGAATGGCTGGAAAGCAGTAATTGAAAAGTTTAATTTTTCCGCTAACATTGTAACTAGCTTTGTCTGGTTTTGTTGTTAAGGGTTAAGCAATAGCTTTCTCTGTCTACAAATCTATAAGCTCAACTTTAATGTTAACTTTCTCGTATTAATTTACTAATTAACTTTAATTTGGTAACTGAGACTGACGCTCATTAAATGATCTTTCAACTGTGCGTTAGGTTTCTGGTTCATCTCTTTGTATATCTTGTGAAACTTTGTTTTTCTTGTTATCTGTATTCACATTTACATGGCAGACGATACGAAATATGATACTTTTCTAACCATCTATCAATACATCAATTAACTGGTTGTTCAACTTAATTGCTATCTAAGGTCTGCTGCTTAACAATGGTAAATGTGATCTCAAGTTTACCACTCAATTAACTGACATTGTTCTAGATCTTCACTTGGATTGATTTAAATTAACTACAACTTGAATCACATTTTACTTGTGTTGGCCACAAAGACTTCTTGTAATGTAATACATTCAATGGTATTACAGTATACATTTTGTGTTAGTGATTTACAAATTAGTCAGATTATGTTGTTTGATTGGAAAAACAAAACGAAACCGAACAGAAGATCTCGTCCTTTTGGGTTTGGTTATTGCAATTTTTGAAGGAAAAGACAATGATGAACCATTTCATGGATGATGATGATGATGACAAAGCAAATGATCAAATTAAATAAGCATTAGCAGCAAGAAAATGGTTAAACTAAAGTTAACCCTGGAAACCCTGAATAAACACAACATGGAAAAACAAGACAAAAGCTAGAGTAATGGTCAAGACAATGTTGGTCATACAGTGAAAGTACAATAAGGTAAGATAATTAAACGAATGGATCAATTGATTTACTTTTATATGTATGTATGAG